ATGGTGTTCATCGCGACAGAGTCGGATATCCCAACGGTTGAATATATATTTCATTCTGCTTTTGTAATAATCTCTGAATAAAACATAAGATCAAAAGATGACGAGTTATAAACATTGTCGTGACGTTGTCATTGGTCACTACATGCTTTAGCTCTGGAAATAAAACTCTGTAAGATGTATAAAAAATAAAAATTCCACACAATTCAGCCAAAACCAACCGTCTTTTCGACCACATGAAACAAATTGAACAATTGTCGAAATTGAAGGAGACGGGTATACTCGGTAAATGGGAATTCAGTGAAGGAATCTGAAGAACCGATTAAGATGTCAACGTTCCATTCGCGGAACTGACCTCAAGGGCCCTACGCTGCCAATACTCTGCGTTTTCATGGAGATCCTTTGTCTTTTGTAGTACGAACTGGTCAGCATCGCCATAATTTGGTGGATTGGCTGACGGATCGTACCCTAAATCAAAAATTCATAAAGGATAAGCGAACAGACGAAGCAAACACGTACCTAGAAACTCTAACATTGGTGCGATCTGACGCATGTCCCTTACAACGTCTTCCGGTATTTTTCCCACCCACGTCGACAGCGCATCCGTATTGATTGGTTTTACAACCTGGTCTGTGCTCTTTTCAGCTCTAAAATGATAGTGACAATTTTTACGTTATTTCAGTCTGTTATTAATGAATGTAAAAAGAACGAAATAAACGGCATTAGGTTAAATTACTCCTAACGGTATATTTCAGCAAAAATAATCTCACTAATTAATGATCTTTGATGAATCCCGTTGGGTAGGGTCGAAAGATGTTAAATATGAAAGTGATAGGTGATCTGTCTGTCGTCACGACGCAATTTGACCTGCGCCCTGAACATATGGCATTTATCATTGTCGCGACCTCCAAGTTGCATTAAACCTATCGGATTTGTGAGTTTCACTCGGCAATTTAAGTGTGTAGAGTTATGGAAAAATCGAAATAATTCACGCTAATTTTAGCACTGTTTCGTGGATACTTGTCGAAACGTTTGAGCGAGAGGAGAGGATGTAGTAACACAAAAGCAAAGAGTCAGCCTAAATTCCAGAAGTACCGGGTTCGAATCTGAAGAAAGAGTCATACACCACTTTGGTCTTAGCCGCGAATTCCATTCAGTAAGGAATTTACTAGCCAAGAAATGCGTAACATCGTTGACTTGCAAACAACAAAGACAGCATTGTATCCTGGTGTAGTCACTCGAGAATAGGCGAGATATACAGCCAAGTTCTTCTATGTGAGCGCCTCTTATGGCTACACTTAACCTTGACACACCTAATACTTAACTATTAAGTGTGATAATTAGCACAACGTGTAATTCTGAAAAAGGAATCGACCGTACGCCTTTTCAGATAAATCGATGTAAACTGCAGTATGTGGCAGTGTGCCAGTTGATGATTCAGTTTTAGCAATACTGTGTTATAATGTGCAAAAGAACCAGAAATTTCGGATGAAAAACGAGTCTGACCGCATCGGCGGATGATATGCTGACTTCATTTTATGCTAATATACACTGGAGTAAATAAGAGAGCTTGGCTGTTATTATCGCTAGCAAATGGCCATTATCATCTGAATTATTTCTAGGCAAACGGGTGAAGAGAAGACGCAAGTATCTCGTTAATATTAATGATGGAATCGTTAAATCAAAAATCATATAATCATCAACCAAGTGTCACTATAAGTCAGCCATAACGTCCATGTTATGTGAAGCAAGC